TATCTACCTTGTTCAATGAGTCTCCAAAGGAGCATGACCCAGGTAGCCGCTAAGCCTCAGTGATCTATTCCACACATGGAAGTCTCCCTGGAAAAATAGCTGGTTGTAGCCCAGGAAAAATAAAACAATTTTGAACTCTAGAGGAGAAGAAATAAAATTTGAGATGATCAAGATGGGAGAGGGTCATCAGGAGGCAGATGGCCATCAGGAGGTAACCTGACAATGGGTATTGAAAATTATAAAGCATATGGGTTTTTCTTTATCCATTTTAAAGAAAAGAAAAAAAAATGTTAGCAGGAGAAAGACAGAGTAACCCTCCCGGCTTCAGAGGAGGACACATCTGCCAAAGGGAGCCTAGACTTTTTAAAGGACATTAACCTAAGGCCAAAGTCATGGGAGAAATGTTTTGCTCTGATAGTCTAAGGATGTGAGGGCCAAGGTTCATAGGAAGAGATACTAAACTTTTACAAAACCAACTGATACCACTGAAGAAAAAAAAAAAAGGCTCAGACAGGGCCTGTAAGTCTAAAATTCATTCTTTTTCTCCCCTCCAAAAATATCAGATGTTCTAATAAATGTTATAACTTTGTCCTGCAAACCTTTTCTCTCCAAAATCCAAAGAATGCTCCAGAGTAGAACAGAAGAGAACATTTTTTAATATTACATTTGGCTCTGCACTGCCAGAAATAGAAATATATTTTCAGAACCCTTTGCAAACCCTCTGTGTGTCTGTGTTGACAAGTGAGTGTCATCTGTGTGATGATCTGTAGCCTGGAATATGCTCGGGAGAGCCCTCTGAAGAAGTATGCATCTAAATTCCCTACAGGTTTCAAGCACAGGACAGGATTTAGGGCAGGATGCCAGAAGGGTAGGACATAAGAGACCTGAAGAGAGAGCTATCTGAATGAATTTTAAAGCCTGTATAAATTCTTCCTTTGCTGGACCTAAGACTTTACTGCTGATGTCCCACCATGTTAGGACATTACCTGGGAAGTTTTTAAAGGCTGGCAACTAGGATTTAAACTGTGCTTACTTCTAAAGTTGAGGAACGCCTTTTTCCCTATCTTCCTCCATAATTAGCAACTCCAAGTGTCCGGAGAAGGCACCACATAGTTCTGTTTTGGAACTGGATTTTTCATTACAAAGGAAAAAGGAAAATGACCAGGAGTTCACTGCAGCGCAGAGCTGCAGCAGGGCTCTGCGGGGTGGCCAAACCCTGGTGTGCTGGGGGAGAGCACGGCCTGGGGTCCCCGTGCAGGGGATTCTCCCGCTCCGGATAACGCCCCGTCCTGCCGTGCCCTCCCGGGCTCCCCGGGCAGCTCTGGGCATGCACCATGTGCCTGACTTGCTGCAGTGCCTGATGTGACACTCGGCTTTGCTGGAAGCGCAACGTCCCTGACCTGCAGCTCCCACCGCCTGCTGTCACCATCCCGAGTCATTCCTGAAAAAAACAGTCTGCTTACACGTTTTTGAAAGAAAAAGCAAGGAAAAACAATCTGCCAAGGCCTTTTTCTCCCCCTCTCCAATATGGCTACATGCCATGCTGCCTTTCTACAGACACCCAAATGAAAGATCACATGGCACATTAATAAATATGTTGCAGAACTGCTCCTTCGGCATCACTGCCTTTACTCATCACCTAGACACTAGGATACTTCTCCCTTTCTCCCCAGTCTTTGCTTTCTAATCAGATTCAATTTCACCTCTCCCCAAGCCTACCACTTCCGTAACCATCTCCTCTCCATCTTGTTGAAAGAAGGATTAAAGACAACAGCTGATGGGATTACTCTATGCTACACATGCAAAAGGAAGCATCTGTCTTCAGCTTGAACACCAAGGGCCCTGCAGAGAAGCAGAACTGTTGTCTGCTGCTTTTAATACACAAATGTTTGTTTTCTGTATCCTAATGCATCAGGATACAAAGCAGTTCACCTTTGCAAAGCACTTTCGCATCCCACAAATGCAGAAGCCAGATGGTAGGGTTTTATTTTTTATTTTTCCCCTTTGTTTGAAAAGATCAAAAATGGGAAAGGAACTGCCTAGGAGTTAATCCTCAGCCTGGAACACACACACGTATCCACATGCCCAGTTATCTTTGCTCGCTGGGCCTGGAGAGGAGCAAACCTGGGGATGCAGCACACTAAAGTAAACACCTGCCTGTAGAGAGCTCCAGACCTGTCACTTTGTGTCAGCTCTCAAGTGGAATCCTTCACTGTATTTCCACAAAATGATAAATTAAAGTATTCTCCCAAGGCTACCGCCTGGACACAAAAAGTAATATTGCACAGAAATCACCTGAAACAGAACTTTGCTCCAGGTCCTACTGCTGGGCATGGCAGACTGTGCTGATAATGGGTTGTACAAAAACACTGAGAGTCAAATCTGGGGAATTTTACCGAACAGGTTGTGGATGTGACAAGGGAGACAACCATAGAGTGTCTAAATTAATCTCTCAAGCTACATCTCCACCTTCCACAGGGGAATCCCAGGAGCAATTTGGTTCTGACCCTTGGCCTCATCTTGGTTTTTCTCTGTACCTGTAAAGAACCAACTGCTTAGGGTTTCTTGGTGCATTTGGTGATGGGTCTGTACACTTGAAAGGATTGTCTCCGAAGACTTGAAGACCCAGTTCTTATGCAAGGGCTCTTAGTAACTAAAATTACAAGGAAGATAGACTCAGAATATGAACGCACAACTGTTGTTAAACCAAACTGTTTCTCTCATCCATGTTTGCAGGAGGAATTGAATGCTGCTTCATCCTCTAGTTAAAGTCACGTCTAATACAGTCAATTCACAGGAGCCCCATGTGGTTCTATTAGTGTCACGCCTGAGTTTGTGTTTAGAGGGTTGTCTATTAGTGCTTGTAGGGAAGTTGGGAGTTCAGAGGAAGCCAGGCTTGTGCTTCTCCCTGCACAGAGAGCAGGGGGAGAGGGCAGGGATAATTGTGCAGGTAGGAGATAATAGCGGGAGGTGGTTGTAATGTGGATAGGAGGAGGCAGCGGGGAAGGCCAGAGACTGTCACATAACTGGGAATGCAGCAGAAGCATCAATAATGTGAGAGGCTCTGTGTGCTCGCCTGGTGATCGCATACCTCAAGGCAGAGATGACAGGAGGCTGAGAAAGGAAGTATCTGGGTTCTCCTCCTGCTCCAGGAGGAATGTGGCTTGGTTTTGGCTGAAAGGAGGATGGACATTGGTGCCTGGAATTCTGCTTTTGGCTATGGGGAAATATAGCATGGGTGGGTTTCCCAGCTTTGTCACTGAAGCCTGCTTTCGCCTTGTACAATTCAAATCCTCTGTTCTTCATGCCATCAGCATGAATATGGGTAATCAAAATCCCTTTAATTTGCTAGGACCCCTCTTAGGATTCTTATGTGCTTGTAAAGCAAGGACTTACTCATCAAAAGTTTTAAAAGTAGCAAAAGTACAAAAAAAAAAAAAAAAGAAAACTTCCTAAGAACAAAAGTGCCTCTCAGGATATGCTCATCTGAAGTTCCGCTCCCGCTCTGGTAAACAGGTGATAACTAGTTATTGCTTTCATCATGTATGACAAGTTAAATGAACAGAGAAAAGTCCAATAAAAATCCATATGACACTGCATGGGAGAGCATGGAACAATCCCCAACAAAGTAGCTTGCACAGACAGGATGAGGTCTATGAGACACTATGACAGAGAAGGCAAAAAAAAAAAAAATATCCACTATGGTACATTGGTCTAGGAGCCAGGCCAGAGCACTGGCAACCACATGGACCAGCTTCTCATCCTCCTCTTGGCTCTCCTTTTGCCCACTTGTTGCTTACTGAAGTTTCTGCAGTGATGCTACCTTGGCCACCCCTCTTTCCTGGGCACCTCTCTTCCCCAAGACCTTTCCCAAACATGGACTTTTGAGCTTTCTCACACAGTTTAGGTCTGTTTCATGCCTGGTAATAAACCTTAACATCAAGCCAATGTCCTGGACTTGGAAAGGTGGTTTGACTTAGTGCAGTAACTCTGCTTGGTATCTGCCTAGCAAGCCAGCACATAAAGCAAGCCTTTTGAAGCAGAACATGATCACAAGTCCTTCAAGGTAGCTGATAAAAATCAGCCTCAAAGCCAAGCAGCCGTGTTGTAACCAGAAATAAACCAGCCTTACACCGTGCCTTAGCCTGAAAAGCCCTTCGTTGGTTGTGGGTGGCCAATTGATAAACCAAGAAGGATGGGAAATACTTCCCGCCAGGGATGTTGCCATCCCAGGCGGATGGGACGGTGCGGACTGGCACAAAGGGCAGTATGAGTGGCAAAGGGTAAGTGCGAGCACAAATCACAGAGGAAAAGGCTGCAAAGGCGTCCCTGTCTCACTGCGTCCATCCCCAGAGCCTAGTGCAGGATTAGCCTCTGCACTAAACTCAGGCATTTTTATCTAGTCACTTCCTGAACTTCCTTAATGACAGGCCCTTCAGCAACTCACCTCTGGCAAATTATTGCATTGTCTAAATGATGCCTCTGCTGGAAAAAGTGTTTTGAGGTCAAGCCTGAATTGCCTTTTATTTCCTCTTCCATATTTTATGCACTTATCAGATAGTCTTTCAGTTGCCTTTTCTCTAGGCCCCTGTATTAAGTTTCTTTAATCTAACACCAGAGGTCAGAGCCTGTAGTCTTTTAATCATCTTTGTCTCCCTCTCTGGATTACCTTTAATTTATGAAAGTCTTCAAAAAGAGAGAGAGGAAAAAAATAAGACTGTAAAAAAGGAGTGACTTCAGAGCTGACCTGAAGTGTGTGACTGTGTGCGGGAATATCAGAGATCTCTGTGTGTAGGCAGCTGCATGGATGTTT